AGCAACCATGGCAACCAACAATTGGGCACACTCATGCCCACTCGCAATTGGCCGAATGGCCACGGCTAATCATGATTACATTGGGGTATAATTGTTTGATCCCTATGGGAGTGAGTCTCTTCTTCTTGTTCTCGAGTCTCTTGTTCTCTTAGCTCTGAGGCTCTTGCTGCCTGTTTTATTGCACCTGAAATGCTGTCTCTTGGAAAACAAAGACCTGCTTGGTGACTTGGAGCACATGGGTGTGCAAAGATGGGATTTCCCTTCAAAATCCCTTGGACTATTCTGGACTGTTGGATGTTCCTGAATTGGTAACTATGGATCTTTAATATGTAGTTAAGGCAAAGAACCATAGGTTTTTCTTGTTTTCAGTAATCTCTGATAGTCTGTTGCTAAGCTCTGTACTGAATAAAGATCCTTCTTATTGCTAATTTGTCTCTGGTGTTGTAACTTGAACTCCAAGGCTAAATCTTGTGGCTAACCCTGACCACTTAAGCTACCTTTGCAAGAGTAAAAGTGTGCATCTCTGGATTGAGTTGCTAATGTGTTCTGTCCCAGATGCCAACTAAGGGTTTGGAACCTCTTCCCTTAGGAAAAGCAGGGACTAGTGAAAAGAGGTTCTGGTGGCAAATTGTCTGGAAACCAGAGAGGGTATAGACCATCTCGTGGTTTGTTGTTTAATGTACTGAAAAGTACAGGATTCCCTCTCATCCCTGGACTGGCCTGGGTGGGCTAATCCTGTACAGACCCCCCTTGCTAAATCGCTTTTTAGTTCATGCATATGGGAGGGGCCCCTCTCCCGCGCGCTTTTCTTGCCATTCTCAGGGGGGGACTTTCTTTCTAAGTCGCCGGTATTTCGCTTTCACTCGACTCACTGTTCGTTGTTGGTCATAAGACCTCACTCAAAATGCGTGTCCCGGTCAGCGGCTCTAATTCCATTTGGACGCATAGCGGCAGGACCGTCAGGGCGGAAGAGCACCTCAATTCCCTAGCATCGTGCTGGCAAAGAGGCCACCCCTCAGAAGCCCCATGGCTAGGAGCCTTTCACAAAGGCTCCGGGGGGATAATGAACAATCGCACCCTCCCCCCCAAACTGCCAGCGCACAGATCACACACCCCGGGAGGTCTGGGAGGTGCATCTGCCAGCGTGTTGCCATAAACCAGAAGTCCAGATATATAGATTCTTTATTGCCTACAGCAGTAGCTGCATTAATGGATAGTCTTATCCCCCTCAGGGTTTTAGAGGAATAATTTTTTTGTGTGTCTTCATAGCAAACTGTAGGCTTCAATATTAACCTCATGTTAAGTTTATTGAAAGACTGGCAGGCCTCACATTAGGGTTCTGACCTTAAGTGAATATAAAATGAAGCTGTTATTGGATAAAGATCTGTTTAGCAGCGGAGAGAATTTTGTTTACCTGGTTATGCAAGAATAAGACAGAAGAGGCAGTGTAAACTGAGTTATCAAGTGAGGGTGACGTATCTGGCCATAGCTGTGGAAGGAGTGGTACTTTATGGGGCAGTTTATTGTAGGAGGGCTTGAGGTAACTGGAGAAAAAATTGTGTAGATCAAGCTCAGTAGCTGAATTAGAATGCACACCCTAAAATGCTGCTTAGCCTCTGGAACAATTTGGATTGTTTTTTGTTTAAATCAGCTTCTTTTTTTCCTTGTAAAACTCTCCCTATAGGCTGTACAAATGTGCCTATATACAAAGAACTTGAATATAGCAGATCTTTTTTTGTTTGTTTTTTGGCCCATGAGAGCTTCTTCTGGTTTAATGAGGTATTCTATTTCATCTGTCTAAAATTACGGCATTTTTCATTGGACCAAAGCTTTAGTTTCTTTCTCTTAATATTGGACTTTTGAAATTTTATTTTATAATTAAGAATATTCAGGGTAGCACGTGATAAAACTTAGTGCCTGCTACATTGTTCTGCTAGGGAATATTAACAAATGAATGGCTTATTTCCATCTTCTGTCTTCATGTGGGAATTGAGTCAGCCTTGTTCAGGTTTTTTCCCTCAGGCCACCTATAAACAGTTGTAATGTAAATCATCCCAGGGTTGGACTAACAGTGTACCTGCATCAGGCTTACTACTCTTAATTAACCCGGTTGTCTTAGTAGGACTAGCTCTGTCTTTACATGGTTTTTAAGCTTCTGTACAACTAACCTGTCAGTTCTCTTAGTAATTTATTATAGCATCGTGTCTCCTTATAAATAACAATTCATACTGGTCCCTTCCTTGAAGAGTTTACAATCTAAACTTCAGCTACTGGAAAGGCAAAAGAGAGAGGCAAGGAAGATGGGGGAGAAGGTGTGTTCGGTTTAGTTATACATGCTTAGTCATAGTTTAAAAGGATAAGTTGAAAGCTACAGAGAAAGAGGTATTTGAGCATCTAGGCATCACTCCTATATACAGCTGAAGAATTATTTTGGATTCCTGTTGCAAGAATTAAAAAATGGTTTTTCCAGCTCTATTGTGAGTAGGAATGGGCAGAAACCAGTTCACGAGCGAAAATTCAGCACAAATCTGGCTTGGTTCAGAGCCCCCGAACATGTACTCGACTTTTGTCTGGTTTGGTTGTTTGAGTCATTTAAACCTAACAGCTGAGCAGTGCGGGTCCACTGTTAACCTGATGGTTGCCAGGCGCACCCATCCCTAGATGTGAGGGAGGGGTTAGACAAAAGTAGCTGAGTTCTGTGGGTAAAAGTTGCTAATTGGGAGAAGTTTTTAATATAATAAACTTGCCATAACCTTGACTTGCACTGAGGTTAATAACGGAATATTTTATCTGTCTCTTGTAGAATCATGCGGCAAAAATATTTTATTGGTTTCCTTTTGTTTCATTTCCAGATATCATAGAAACCACGATTACTTACACAACCTAATGCTGCATTGTGAATACCATGATGCTCTTCTGACTGTTGGAGGTGCTATCTTTTTTATTGAAAACTCCATCTCCTGTACTGACAACTTCAGTAACTGTTAGTTTCCTGAACATTTTGGGAAACAATGGGGATTGGCAAGAACACTACTTCTAAATCTGTAGAAGCGGGAAGCCCAACAGAGGGCAAATATGAGGATGAACCAAAGCATCCTGCTTTCTTCACACTACCGGTAAGTAAAATACTCAGAGTTGCTCTCCTGTAGTGTTGGCAGGCTATTTGGATAACACAGTATAAGCACAGGCTAAGTGGAAGGTCTATTTTGGCTTTGGCAGTTAAACCTAAACATGGTATTGTATTGTTGAAGGCTTTCCAAGATGGTGGACCTCCTTATGGCACCTGGTATTTTTGGCCACTGTGTAACAGACTGTTGGACTGGATGGGCCATTAGCCTGATCGAACATTGGCTTCTCTTATGTAAATTAAGCTACTTTAAAATTACTCGCTAACCTGCAGCAAGATCCCCAACTCTGTTTCCTTTTGTTGAGGACAATGATATCTCTGTAGATGGCTAATATTTGTAGGATATCCATAAGGAAGCAGAGCCCTCTTGATGAAATTACCCTCAGTAGGGTTACCAAGTCCCCGCTGTATGCACAGCGGGGGACTCCAGCCTCGTTCCCGGAAATGACACGGCCGCGTTGGGCGCGCCGGGGGTGGGGCCACAGTCATCCAAGGGGAAAACAGAGAGTTTTCCCCTTGGATGACTGCGGCCCCGCCCCCGGCACGCCTGGCGTGGCTGCGTCACTTTAGGTGACGTGCTGACGCCGGGCATGTCACGTGCTTTGGGGGTGGGGATCCCCCCGGGGCCCAACCTGCCGGCGGTGGGTAACGGGCCTCTGGGGCGGGGGTTTCCCCACCCCCCGGGGGGACTTGGTAAGCCTAACCCTCAGTGACCCAGATACTGAAACCTTCAGTGTTGCCCTGTTTGTAGAGTTCAATTGCATTTAAGATTTAAAGATCCTGTAGGCAAACCACTGTGTTCTTGATCAAAGCACTCATCAGAATGTTTTTGATCTTCCTCTTTATGTGGTTGATTTCATTTTGGAGTATGAAAGATGAGGATACACCTGAAATCTAAAATCTAGATCCAGACACCTGAATTTTGAGAAAAATTGTGCTTGCTGCCAATATTGGAAGAGAACATAGCTGTAATAGGAAGATGAAATATTTGGACTTAAAGGAAGTTGAGAGTTCTTTATTTACATCTGCTGTTCACCCAGAGAAAGATTTCTTCACAGTCCCTGAGTTGTATACTCCACTAATATGTTGGACCCTCTATAAGTGTTGTTGAACTAAAAAGTAAAGGTAAAGTACTCATCTCCAGTTCAAAGCCGAAGAGCCAGCGCTGTCCAAAGACGTTTCCATGGTCATGTGGCCGGCATGACTAAACACCAAGGCGCATGGAACACTTTTGTTGAATTAGGAATATGCTAAAAATGCATTTATGCTGTTTAACAATAAATAAAAACGTTTAGTATAAAAAAATAATTATGTTACTCCCCCCATTGGCATCAGTTGTAACAGCTGAAAGCTACAGGATGGCCAGCTGTTCACTTGGGTGGTGAAGAATATAATTGGGTTAGGTCTTCTCAGGGAAGGCAGTCAGACATCCACAGTTATGCCTCACTCTGCTCCTGCTGCATTGAAAAGCACAGAAACTTGGTTTCTTGGGGCACAGAATGGTATCTTTCTGGTTCTTCTGCCCTGTGGTGCTCTGAGCTCCTCTTGGCCAGATGGTCCACATTTTAAGAATAACAGTTCTGTTACTTTCAGTGAGAATAGATCTAAAAGTCCTTTAAAGGAAGAGCCTAAGTTGAAGGAAAGCTCCTTACGCTGGAAGAAGGCATCAAACTTTGTTAAGCAGAGTAGCTGGATTCACTCCAACTTCTTCCTGCAACAGTCTCTTCAGCACATGCTCAAGCCTTCAGTTGATTGCTTGACACAGCTTACTTTTCATGAGTATGTATGACGAAAGCAAGATAAAGCAATTCTTAACTTCATCTTCCTCCTATGTTTCCATGTTGCCTAGCCAGCACGTACTTACTGAGTTGATCAATCAATTAATAAAACGGGCCATTGGTACTTACCGTGAAGGGTCCTTCTCCTCTGAGATAACGGAGGACATCTTGCTGGGTGTTTCCGACCCCTTCCTTAGGGAGGCAGGAACAAAGAACTTCACTTCCTGTCCAGTAGTAGGAAATGCCCTTCAGCTTCCAGTTTCGGGACTCCAATGAGCAGTAACCCTTGTAAATAACACTATAAAACCATCATTAACCATAACTATTGCAAATAACAAACAGTCCCCCAAAGGGTCAACAAATACTACTATAGGAATTTTCAAGTGAAGACAGGAAGGACTACTCTGAGCCAAAGACAAAAGAAGTATTAATACAGAAAAAACTTAGAATATTAGCAAAGAAGACGATGAAAGGGAGGGCCCAAGATGTCCTCCGTTATCTCAGAGGAGAAGAACATAAGAACATAAGAGATGCCAATGTTGGATCAGGCCAAAGGCCCATCCAGTCCAACACTCTGTATCCCACAGTGGCCAGAAATACCAGTGCCATCAGGAGGTCCACCAGTGGGGCCAGGACATTAGAAGCCCTCCCACTGTTGACCCCCCCCAAGCACCAAGATGACAGAGCATCACTTGCCCCAGAGTCCCTATCTATACCTTGTGGCTAATAGCCACTGATGGACCTCTGCTCCATATGCTTATCTAATTCCCTCTTGAAGCCGTCCATGCTTGTAGCCGCCACCACTTCCTGTGGCAGTGAATTCCAAGTGTTAATCACTCTTTGGGTGAAGAAGTACTTCCTCTTATCCGTTCTAACCCGACCGCTCAGCAATTTCATGGAGTGCCCACGGGTTCTTGTATTGTGAGAAAGGGAGAAAAGTACCTCTTTCTCTACCTGCTCTTTCCCATGCATAATCTTATAAACCTCAATCATGTCACCCCTCAGTCGTCGTTTCTCCAAGCTAAAGAGCCCTAAGCGCCTTAACCGTTCCTCATAGGGAAAGTGTTCCAACCCTTTTATCATTCGAGTTGCCCTTTTCTGCACTTTTTCCAAAGCTATAATATCCTTTTTAAGGTGTGGTGACCAGAACTGCACACAGTATTCCAAATGAGGTCTCACCATTGATTTATATAGGGGCATTATTATATTGGCTGATCTGTTTTCAATACCCTTCCTAATAATCCCCAGCATAGCATTGGCCTTCTTTATTGCAGTCACACACTGTCTCGACATTTTCAGTGAGTTATCTACTACAACTCCAAGATCTCTCTCTTGATCTGTCTCTGCCAGTTCAGACCCCATCAACGTGTATTTATAGTTAGGATTTTTGGCTCCAATGTCCTCCTGAAAGGACTGGTGCGGTGTAGAAAAACTTTCAACGGCCTCCGTACATCCAGAGTATGCTATATCCTCTCCTGCGGATGCAATGGTTTCAGACAGAAGGAAGGAAGGCAAATCTCCTGGGATCTGTGGAATTTGGAGTTGACCTTTGGGCGGAAAGTAGGGTCAGGCAACAGTACGACCTTATCCTTATGAAAAGAACAGAGCCGAGGATTAACTGAGAGTGCTCCCAGTTCCGACACACTCGGGGCTGACGGAAAGTAGGGTCAGGCAACAGTACGACCTTATCCTTATGAAAAGAACAGAGCCGAGGATTAACTGAGAGTGCTCCCAGTTCCGACACCCTGCGGGCTGATGTTACAGCCACCAAAAAGAGGACCTTCATTCTAAGCCATTTTAGAGAAATTTCCATGATCGGCTCAAAAGGAGGCTTTGTTAAAGCGCTAAGAACCACATTCAGCCTCCAAGTGGGAAATCTGTGGCAAACAGGTGGGTCCTTAAGTGATGCACCTTTCAAAAAACGCTTGATATGCGGATGCCAGACAGTGGACAATCCTTCACCAAAGGTAAGACTGTTCAGAGGGCTGCAACTTGCCTTCTAAGGGTGGACGCCTTCAGACCTGAATCGTGGCCGTCCTGTAGGAAGGAAAGGATCTCTCGAAAGTGTGGCTTGAGAGGATCAACAGATTTCCTTCTGGCCCAATGTACAAAAGCCTTCCAGGTAGTATTATATATCCTGCACGTCGACTGCCTTCTGGATGCCAGGATCGTATCCGTTACCCCCTCTGGATAACCTAACTTGAGAAGTCCGTCCCTCTCAACCGCCATGCGGTCAGATGAAGCCATTCTGGATCCGGATGCCAAACCGGTCCCTGTGATAACATGTCTGGCGACACTGGTAACCGTAGAGGAGGAAGGATCGATAGAGCTTGAATTTCTGCGAACCACAGCCTTCTGGGCCAATAAGGAGCTACAAGGATGATTTCTGCCTTGTGTTCTCTTATCTTCCTCAGAAGTTTGGGAAGAACCGGAGTTGGAGGATATGCAAACATCAAGCCCTGTGGCCACTGCAATACTAGGGCATCCGTTCCCTCTGCTTTGTGATGATGGAATCTGGTGAAGTAACGAATCACTTGAAAGTTGTTTGGTGAAGCGAAGAGGTCCACATCTGGCATGCCGAAGGTGTTCGCTATCAGATAGAAAATGCTCCGCTTCAGAGACCACTCGGCTTCCTGAATACGAAACCTGCTGAGCCAGTCCGCTTGATAATTTAGGGCCCCCTTTATGTGTTCTGCTCTGATGGAGGCCAAGTTGGTCTCTGCCCAGAGAAAAAGTATGGCTGCCTCGTGGCTCAGTCGTGGAGACCTGGAGCCTCCCTGCTTGTTTATATACGATTTTGCTGTGATGTTGTCCGTCCTTATCAGGACGTGGGATCCCTTTACTTGATGATGGAAATACAACAGAGCCAGTCTGATGGCCCTCAGTTCCAATACATTTATCGGCAGTTTGCTTTCCTCTTTTGACCATATACCTTGCATTGGAGAATCGTGGTAAACTGCGCCCCAACCCTGGAGGCTGGCGTCCGTGACAATCTGTTTCCATTCCGCTACGTAAAAGACCCGGCCTCGTAGCAGATGGTGAATGTTGGTCCACCATAAAAGACTGGTCTTTATCTTGTAAGGTAGTTCCAATGAAATGTCCTGTCGTCTCATGATTTTGGATTGAAAAGGCCTCAGGAACTGTTGCATCGATCTGGAGTGTAGTCGCGCCCACGGAACCATGTCTATACACGAGATGAATAGGCCCATCAGCTTGGCCAGGGTCATAAGAAGGGATCGCCTGCTCTTGACAATCTGCTTGCACAAAGCTCTGATCTTTTCCGCCTTGGGCATCGGTAGGAACGTAGAGTTCTGGGATGTGTCCAATATGGCTCCGAGATGTTCTATTGACTGTGACGGGTGTAAGCAACTTTTCTGTAGATTGACTAAAAATCCGTGGGACTGTAGACAGTGGATGGTTGCCTTGGTGTCTAACGCTGACCTCACAAGAGAAGGCGAGCGAATCAGGAGATCGTCCAAGTACGGATGGACATGTATGCCGCTCTCCCTCAGTCGAACGATTGGATGGATTAACATCTTGGAGAAGACCCTGGGGGCTGTTGATAACCCGAAGGGAAGGGTTCTGAATTGCCAGTGCTGTCCTTGGGCGAAAAATCAGAGGAAGCGCCTGTGCCCGGTGAATATGGGCATGTGCAGGTACGCCTCCGTGAGGTCGATGGAGGTCATGAACTCCTCCGGATGAAGGGCCTCTGTTATGGACCGGAGGGTTTCCATGCGAAAATGTCTCAGCCGAACGAACCTGTTCAGGAACTTTAGATCCAGGATCGCTCTCCAGCTTCCGTT